AAGATTTTCTAAGACACTAGACACGTGTTTGCTTAATGGCCTGGGGTTTTTTTTTTGTTTTGTTTTTGTTTTTGTTTTTCAAATTCATAGAACCAATAAGAACAAAGAAAGAAGGAAATGAAATGGCAGAGAAAATTCTGGGACTTAGAAGGAAAATTGTCATGGAGTGGGGGTGAAGAATGTGAAGAAAAAGAGACAAAAGAAAGCAGGCAAGGAGGAACAAGAAAAAGAAACAGATGAGGAAGAGATGTTGAAGGGGAAAAATGAGGGAAGAAAGAAAAGACAGATTAAAGCTGCTCCTGAAGAGCCTCCACTAAATGTAATCTGAAATCCTTTAGATTAAAAAAATGACTCATTCTTAGGAAGCATGTTTGAAAAAGGAGATCTAGTCTGGTATCACTCAGAATAAGCTAGGAGAAGGCCCAGTTCCATAGCCTTGAGGCTAAAAATACTCACCTTCCACGCACCGGGATCCCATATGGGCACCGGTTCTAATCCTGGCAGCTCCACTTCCCATCCAACTCCCTGCTTGTGCCCTGGGAAAGCAGTCGAGGACAGCCCTAAGCCTTGGGACCCTGCACCTGTGTGGGAAACCCAGAAGAGGCTCCTGGCTTCAGATCAGCTCCGCCTCAGCCACTTGGGGAGTGAATCATCAGACAGAAGATCTTCCTCTCTGTCTCTCTTCCTCTCTGTATATCTGACTTTCCAATAAAAATAAATCTTAAAAAAAAAAGTAGGATAAAACTACAGTGCAATGCATACTGTTCATCTCCCTCTGAAACCAAGTTAAGATATATATGTCTGATCATTTTTAATCTTTCACACTTATTATTACAGAACATTTCAGATTTCCTAGAAGATTGTCCATGACAACTGAAAATGAGATTTTAAAATCACTCCTTTTTATTATGGAACTCATTTTGTGCCAGTTTCGGGTCCTATTCAGAGCTCCAGCCCCCGGCTCCACAGGCTTGCTCATTGGTGTTAACACAGACTGCTAGACTCTGATTTAAAACTGCTTTTGATAAGTACCTTGAAGACTTTCCAGAACTGTAGCTGTTTTTGCCGTCTTTTAAGTATTTCCTTGATGTGTTGTCTCTATTAACTGTTTTTCTACTATTTAAAGGCTAGAAACAGATGATTTTGAAAAGGTCATCTAATTTAGCAGAAATCAAGTGCCTTTATTTCTATTAAAGTACTATTATGACAAAAGTTGAGAGATGTTTATAACTAAAGAATTAGAAAGCTGCTTAACCTCCGGGAAACAGCCAAGAATGTGAAACCAGAATGATTGAAATTTTCCATCTGTTGAGCCTCTACCCGCTCAAGCTGGAGTGCGCCAATGTGTGTTCAGAGGCAAGCAGAAGCAGTTACAGCACAAACCAAGGCTCACACACAGATTTCAACTCCAACCTGGGAACTGAGCAACCTAACCTCATTACACATCTTTGTCATGTCCTTAACATGACACCAAAAAATCAAATATCTCTAAGTTTTCTCTCATCAGCCATGTCCTAGAAAATGCTGTTTGCTAATTTCATTTGGCTTTATCTTCCTGTTTCCACAAAAAACATTAAAAATTGAGATGTTAAAAATCCTTTATAGTCATCATGCATTAATTACTCATCAGTCAGTAGTACCAGTGGTGCAGAACCCACAGCAGCCATCAGATGGACATTGCGAAAGAATCCCTTCACGGAGGGAAAGAAAAACAAAACTTCTGGATACATGTGATGTGTAGACTCTATGCTAAATGTCTTATACATTATAGATAGTATTTTGTTTCATCTTTGCTGTAGTCATTGGAAAGAAGTAAAGAAAAAAGAAACTAAGAGAAATTCCCTAAAGTCGATAATTCAGTCACTTCTCCATTTATTAAATGCAATGGAGTAGTCTCTCTATCCTGGATATTAGTTTAATGGAGGGACAAATAACCAAAGAGGAATCAAATGAAAAGTAAACAGTGTCCGGTATTTATAAAAACTAAGAGAAACAGGGAAGGAAGAAGAGATTGTCATAAAATAAAGGAAAGGATGGATCAGGAAAAGCCCAGAGAAAAAGGGAGGCTAACACAAGAATGCCGAGGTGGGGACGGACAGGGAACGGGGATGCGTGATGCGGAAACTCCTGTGTATCATGTCCAAAAACAAGGATGTGTTTGTTCAATTCCTTTAAAACAAGCTGTGAAGATCAAGTCCCAAAATGCCGCTAGCAGAAGTCAAATGCGTCCTTCAGTATCCCTGAAAACAGTCGTCTAGGAATGAGACTTTCACAGCTTCTGGTTATACGTGAGGGAAACATTTCCAGAATGAGCTGTAATGTGAAGCAGCTTGCGGATCACCCTCTCTGGAAAAGAATGATGAAATATAGATTCTTAGAAGGTGTGAGTAAAGATGTGATTCAACTGCAGCTTTGAGACTCAGCAAGCAGTGACAAAACCCATCTTTTCCAGAAACTTGACTTTCAGAATCCAAAGGTGGGGAGCAGATGCTATCATCCTTTTAACCTAAATAGGGGTGTTTATGGGGCCTTAATTCTCCTCGCTGATTTGTAATCCTTACTCTACAAGCAGGGAGCGGTGTTATTCAAGCTTAGAAAGAACTCACTGAAATCGCTTACTCATCATTCCTCATCTCTAATCTGGGAACGATGTCCACCTCACTGGATGACTACAGGATGAAATGATGTCTCCAGCATCAGTTCTTGGAGCTTTGGAAGCATAACTTTGTCTTCTTTCAGTTATGTGCTCCAAGTACCTAACGTATCCAATTCACTCCTGTCTTCATTACTCCAGAGTGGAAACCTGCTCACTCAAGGATCTGTTGACATTCAAAATTAACAATATGAATCTGGAACTTTCAGAAGGAAACAAAATTTTCTCTAGTGAAATAGAAGTTAGACACAACTCTATTAATTGGTTTTGTCCTTTCGGTCCCCAAGAGCCACCAGGAGCCAAAGAATTGACCGACGTAGGAGGCAGTCTTACCCTCCTCCTTTCACATTGTCCATGTGCAATGTCACAACACGTAAACCATCCGATACTTACAAAGAGCTGTAAACCTTTCCGGTCCACTCTCCCAATTCCATCCCTGCAAGGACATGGGAGCTTGTTTGAGCAGCTATTTTCTGAGAGAAGATGTGTTGTCACATTTAAGAGAGATGTGCTGTGACTTATCAAAGATTACCAACCAGCTGGTGATAGAGGTGAAAAGAAAGTACAGGTCTGTGGTCTTACACCCCAAGTTGCTGCTGGCAGAAAGAATGCCTTCAGTGCTTCTTCGTCCTCCCTGGAGGAGTTCAAGTCACTGCAGGAGGATTAGCTCAATGGCTGCACTCCCCATCTCCCCCAGCGCTCACACGCTCTGTTTCTTGCTTGACCATTGCATCAAAATCCAGTACACAGACTGATGAGTTTTGCGGGATGCTCCGTTAACACTCAAAGTAGGACCTCCCATTTCTTGCACCTAACTTTTTTTTTCCATCTTCATCCCACCCACAACTTTCTAAAGTTTGGAGGATTATGAGTATAAAGTAGTATTGTTATTTTAATTTGCATTTGCTTGATTACTGGTGAAACTGCATCTCTTCAAATATTTGTTATCAGGATTTTCCTTTCAATTAATTGCCTACCCACAATTTTTTTTATTTGCTGAACTTCATTTTTCTTGTTGAATTTTAGCAGTTCCTTTTATATTCTAGACATTGATCTCCCCTAGGGTTAGAAGTAACTCGTTATACACATACTTTCTATTCCTATAAGAGCTGAAACGTATGGGTACAGCACAGTAGCCTAGCGGCAAAATCATCACATTGAACAAGCCAGGATCCCAACAGGCATCAGTTTGTGTCCTGGCAGCTCCACTTCCCATCCAGCTCCCTGCTTGTTGCCTGGGAAAGCAGTAGAGGACAGCCCAAAGCCTTGAGACCTTGCACCTGTGCAGGAGACCCAAAGAAGGCTCTTGGCTCCTGGCTTCAGATTGGCTCAGCTACAATCATCAAGGCTACTTGGGGAGTGAACCAGCAGATGGAATATATTTCTCTCTGTCTCTCCTTCTCTCTGTAAATCTGCCTTGCTAATAGCAATAAACTCTTTTTTAAAAAAATAAAAGTAAAAACAGCTGAGACACAGATCGTGTTGGGAAAGTGTTGACTTTGCCTTGCCAAGAAGTCTCCCTCCCCAGAACATTCCAGTAGCTACTGGTGTCAGGTTATATTATACCCAAAAAGTTATTCATCTTCTATGAAATTGGTTCTTCTTTCTTTTTAGATGTAGTTTCTTTAAAAGGTGAGGAAATTACTGCTGCTTCCACATTATCTTCGCCTCTCCGAAAAGTTGTTGGCCCTTTTTTTTCAGTCTTTGTCTTTTGAAGTGGCATCTGAGGGCCTGCACTGGCTCAGAGGAGTAGGCTGACTCATCACTGAAATGCGTCTGGGTGTGCTCCTCACCTCTGCGTGGGACTCGGCAGAGGAGGCAGCACAGGACGCACCGCATACTCCAACGCCAGGACACACATCCCCGGCCTCTGGCTTCTGACACCGGAGATCCTGCCGTGTCTGAGACCAGTTGGTCATGAAGGCTGAGGCTTCCTGCCGACACCAAAACCCATCGTGCCCCCCTCCATCAGGACCCTGGCCTAGCCCAGTAGCTGGCCAGCATGCTGCCTGCTAGAACACCTCACCCCGGCCTGCTCCTAGAGGTGCTATGGGGTGCTGAAGTTGCTGCCGTCCCAAGATTCTGGTGCCAAAGGCCATCAGTGCCCACCCCACATCATCACCTTGCTGTTAGGCACCTGGTCTACAAAGGTGGGGTGCCATGGATGCAACCTGCTCAGGTCGCTTGAGGCCTGTATTCTGTCAGCCCTAGACAGGTGCTGTGGCCGGATGCGGGAGCCTGTATTTTAATTTCTACTTCATTTCTTCAGTATTACTGGAATCCCTAGGAAAACCCTGAGAGCCTCTGACCTAATCATTGGTTGACCTTTTTTTTTTCCCCCTTTTAGCTTAAGTCTGTATATTCTGAAGACTTTATATTCAGCTCACTAGTGAAGAAGGGATACTGCATTGGAAAGATGAAATTGGCTATGATTCCCTAAAAACATCTGCTCCCAGCCTGGAAGAGCATATTTGCAACATGCCAGGCAGGGCCACACAGGGACAGCCCTCAGGAGCAGAGCGAACCTGCGGGAGTTACAGGAAGCAGCAGTACTAAGAAGAGGATCCTGCCTGACAATGCGATTTGCTGGTTGATCATCTCACAAGGGGGAAGGTAGGTAAAATGCCATGTGATATTTTTGCATCTCCCATCAAAGCCTGCATGTGAGCTCCAGCTCCCATTCTGTCTCAACTTCCTGTTGACACACACTCTAGGAGTAGTTGCTGATGATTCAACTCAAGCGGGAGACTGGCTCGAGTTCCTGGATTCCAGCTTTGGACTGAGCTAGTGCCACTCATTCAAGAAACAACACTTTTCAAGAAAGAGCTCATTAGGTGATGTCACCATTACATAAACAGTGTAGTGTCATTAAACAAACTATGACATCATTAGACAGTATAAGCCTAAGGGACCACCACTGGATGCAACCTATTATTATTATTTTTTTTAATTTAATTTTCTGAAACAGTTTCATAGGCTCTGGGATTCCCCCAAGCCCTCCCCAAACCCTCCCCCATATTGTTGGGTTTTTTTTATTGAATATATTGCATTATGTGACACAGTTTTATAGGCACTGGAATTCCCCCCCAACCCCCCCCATGGTGGATTCCTCCACCTAGTTGCATTACCACAGTTCATATTCAGTTGAGATTCTTTCATTGCAAGCATATTCCAAGCATAAAGTCCAACATCTTATTGTCCAGATAAGTTCAACGTTTCTTGAGGGAGACCATCTCTGGTCTGAAGGTAGAGCCGGCGCAGTATTATCCTGATCAATTAAAAGCCCGACATTACATCAGTAACAATTTGTAACATTATGGAATTAGTTGGCATGGTATTGAGTAACCAATGTGTTAAAAGAGGGGAAAAAAAGGGCCTGGCGGCATGGCCTAGAGGCTAAAATCCTAGCCTTGAACATGCCAGGATCCCATATGGGCACCGGTTCTAATCCTGGCAGCTCCACTTCCCATCCAGCTCCCTGCTTGTGGCCTGGGAAAGCAGTCAAGGATGGCCCAAAGCTTTGGGACCTGCACCTGTGTGGGAGACCTGGAAGAAGTTCCTGGCTCCTGGCTTCAGATTGGCATAGCACTGGCCATTGCGCTCACTTGGGGAGTGAATCATCGGACAGAAGATCTTCCTCTCTGTCTCTCTTCCTCTCTGTATATCTGACTTTCCAATAAAAATAAATAAATAAATCTTAAAAAAAAAAAAAGAATGCAAGTTCTGAACCACATCCTATGACTTCTACGTTGACATTTCAATTATTAGTTTATATACAACCGGGTTCTATACACTTTAAAATGGCTACTGATTACTATTCAACTGTCTCATGTCTATTTTAATTTTAGTATTTAGCAGTTTATAGCATTGAAGCATAATTTTGCTGAACCTGACTGTTTTTCGGGTAGTCTAACTCTATAACTCTAACAAGACATATGTCAACAGTTTAGGTGAACAGTTTTAGGAGGGGTGTGCAGAGAAATCTTCAATACCCTAGTGAGGAGTAACTAATCTTTGTGTCCTACCTAGTAAGCCAAGCTGGCTGTTTCCTGTCTGTTTTAAGCTTTTCTTATTGGTCTCTGTCTATCTGATCTAATTTTTTTGGGGGGGAGGCAGGCAACCCATTATTGACAAAAATGTTCACATGCAGCACCTCCCTGTATAGGAAGACCGTGGCACCGCTCCCAATTCGGGAGTGAGATCAGAGGGCTGTGATTATATTCTGTCATAGTCTCCACAGGATGCGCTTTCTGGGGATCCACTGGGGGTGATAATTCTCCTGTTGGGCTGACAGATTTCTTTGTTTTTTTCTTTTTTGGCAGTCAAAAGTCCTCCTACTTTGTCACCTACCTGCTCAACACCAAGAACATGTCCTAGGACCTTGGACCATTCGGGTGTTTTAGACACTAATTTCAACAGGCAAGGCAAAAGAAACACAGACAACAACAGGCTATAGCTTGACAACAGATTTCACAGGAAATAGATTCTTTTGGTTAGTTTTAGTGTCTTCCTTTAGTTATAGTTTAAAAAAAAAAAAACTGGAGCAGAGTAAAGGTCAGAAAAGAAATTATCTTTTGGGAAGCTGAACGATGACTCATCTGTCCGCTATCCAGCAGTAGATTCTTCAGCTGTGATGAAAGAACTTAAGTAATTATGATGCATTACCCCAGAGGACACAGTGCTATCACATGAGGCCAGTGGTCAGAATGATGCAACCTCGCTGGCTTTCAGATGGAGGAAGGAGTCAAGAGCCAAACCCTGTGAGCAGCATCCAGAAACCTGGAAAAACAAGGGCATGTTGACCCCTGGCCTGCAAAAGGAACACCGTCCGGCTGACACTGAGATCCCAGTCCAGTGGGACTCACACCAAACGGCCCAGAGTGTGTGGTAACCCAGCAGAGCAGCAACAGACACCCAAGACACATTCCTCATTTCGGCATGTCTGAAAAAAAGCTAAGACTAGTAGTCCCCAAAGCAAAACATGGAAAATGCAATCACAATTTCTCCCTGACAAAGTCTTTCTGTTGCCATAGGCCCTCCCATGTTCTATCAACACTCAACTCCCATCTGTCTTATCCCACCTCAATCAGCAGCTCACCTTCCTGCCCCTCTGCTCTTGGTTCCCAATGCACAGGACAATCAGGACCTGCCCATTCTTCTTGCTCTCCTGGCTTCACTGTTCTGCTGGTCTGTGGAGAGGGTGCTTTGCAATCCCCTCTTCCTTGTCTCTGATTTGGGTTTTGTTCCCTTTTACTCCACGCAAATTTTAAGCAGTACGTTTATCATTATTTCAATTGTGTTACTGCCCCAAGGAGCCATTTCTTCCTCTTACCTAGAAGTAAGTATTTACATTTTTAAAGAGCATAGATTAAATCCTTGAAATGCAAAGCCCAGGTAAATTACGAAACGAATGCTTTTGGCAGAACAGAATTAGGGCTGTCATCTCAAAATTTACCCTGTTACAATCAAATAAAGATATTTTAAATGAAATGGATAATTCGTTTTTGTCTGAGGTCTGGCAGGACATGCTCTCAAGGAAGGAAAGTGTCAGAAGCTACAGCAGTTCATAACTGCGACTAGCTCTGTTGACATTGGAATTTGGGACCAAAGATTGTGAAAAACCTAATCCCTGCAGTTAATCAGTATCTTGGAGAGTTAATAAATATCCTGGAATTTTTTTCTAAGGATCAATGTGACCTCAGCTGCTCTGACAATTAAATATTAATGAAATGGGTGAAGAGTAAGTTGCTTGTATTGTGTAACAAAGCATGCGCTGAATATCTTGTCTCAGGCTGTGCATACCAGCGTGGATCTGTGCATGTGTATTTGTCTGTGTATGTGTGTGTATGTGTGCCATGCATGTGTGTTTGTGGATGTGTGTATAAAACTTCTAGAAGAAACCCATACTTACAGAATGTGGTACTTCTCCACTCTTTCCCTTTGTCATTGGTTCTCATCTCTGCCATTTTAGAAGCTCCTTAACACACTAAGACAGCCCTAGCGTGATCGTAAGCATACGTACAGATGACCAGTGTGAGTTACATCTGACCAGTAACACTCAAACTAAGTTCCAACCCTCACTTCCCACACAAGAGTGAACGAGGGGCAGAACGTGGAGGAGCCCCCACCAAAGCGTCAGCCAAAGCAGCTTTCTTTTCTTCATATTTCCAACTTTATTTTGAGAAGATACTCATTTTTTTAGAACAAAAATCCCAGATATCACCTTCCTCTAGAAACAAGTTGAAGCCATTGGGCTAAAAGCATTCAGCAGAGGCTCCTCTCCATGGGCTCGTGGATCTGAAACATATTTGCGGATAGCAGCGCATTTGGCTCGCTTTTGGAACACTCACTCTTGAGCCAAACTTCACTTTGGGGAAAATTATTCTGAGTTATTTTGCTCTATTTGTTGTTTATACCTTTAAATTTGTTACAGAGAACTTCTCAACTGTGTAAGAAACATTTAACATAAACTTTAATATATTTGGAAATCTTGTTGAGATTTTGCTACTCTAATCAATAATCTAATCTACCTGTCGTCCATATTGAAATATGGGATGCAATAAAGCTTTTTCCCCCTCAGATCTTAGTCGCCACTGGCTGATGAAGTTTGTGAAAACATTATACATCACGCTGTAGCCTCTGTTTCCTGTTGTTCCCTGTGACGCATGCCACAACCACCACACAACCTAGCCATATCAGTCACGCTATGTCTTCTGTCTCCAAGAGTTCTCTCTCTCTCCTCACACACTCCCAAGTCGAGGACAAGAATTTGATCATGTGGGAGTAGCTCCACTTTCCCTCTAGGTGTCACATTTTTATTTCTGCCCCTCTTTCCCCTGTTTCTGCTGTGCTTCTTTCCAGTCTTCATTTCTTAGGGAACACATGCACATTAAATGCAGTTTAATCCTCTACCAAACTTGATCTCAGAAAGATGAGCAAAATCTCTCAGAGCTTCCATTAACAGTGAAGCCCACTATGTCCCCTCTTCAGCACGGTGTCCTTGGGGCTTCTTACCCATCCTGTCATGCAAATGTCTGTCCCTGGAGTTGGAAAGTTATACAAGTGACATAACTGGCATGCAGACACACCATCAGTGATTGTACTAAGTCCGTTGGTGAAGTTGGTATCAGGCAGGACGTGATAAGCCTGACCCAGTCACGCATTGTGTCAGAACCCTAAACAGACGGGGTGTTGGAAGGCTTCTCTTTCCCTCCGTGGACGTGGGCCTTCCTTTTCCTTCATCTCGGGTGTGACTTTATCCTTTTCTTTAAACCTCTCTTCTCTTTGGCTAAGCACTTGCTGCATGGAAACATACTTCTTGCTTTCTTTTGCCTACTCAGGCTTTTGCTGCACTCTTGTTTCTTTCAGAATCTGAAAATTGCAAATTCTTAGGGGAATTGGGCCCACTGCAAATTTCAATGGAGAGTGTCTGACGGATGAGAGAGATAAGCCTTAAATCTTAGACATTTGACAATAATAAGAGCTGAATTCATCGATTTTTTTCACTTTACAATTTTACCTGAAGATAAAACAAGATTTCAGACACTTCTGAAACTGTTTG